AAAAAAAAAAAAAAAAAAAAAAGCTACTGCCCAGCTCGCAGGCACTCCTTCCTAGTACAAGTCCCCCTCAGCCCCACCCCGCTGTTCTCCTCCTGCCCGGCTCAAGGGTGACGCCCCTGGCTTCCCTGTGCTCCCTTCCCGACACCGTGTAGTGGCTCAGGACCCCATCGCTCCCCCAGAAACACCACTCACCCTTCACAGCCAGCTCCTGCTGCACCCCTGCCCCAGCCCCCACAGGGCGCCTCGCTTCTTCTGGTCCCCAAGGAAAGACGTCTCAAAGCTGGAGGGCTGCGTGAGGCCACGGGAGCCCGGGCTCGGAACCCTCAGGTCAGGCGTCTTCGGTGACCACCATGCCCCGGATGGACCCTGTCTGCTGCCCTGGGCAGAAGCATGCGGCAGGGCGGGCCCCTCCCTCCTGCTCCCTGACGCTCTCCTCGCACTCCCCAGCTTCCCTCTGGGACGCGCACACCTCCTTCCCTGTCCACCCTGTCGGTTGCTCCTACTTGGTCTCCCCTGCTTGGTCTCCTTTTCAGAGGTCTCTGCTTCCTTCCCACCTCTCCCACCACATCCCGGCCCGTCCTTGTCCTCTTCTGTCTGATCTCCCCTCCGCTGCTGCGCTTGGGCCCAAGTGCCATTCTCTCTCACCTAGATGCCAGGACAGCCTCACCCCAGCTTCTGCCCTTGCCCTCTGCAGCCTCTTCCCCACACAGTGGCCAGAGCTGAGTGTGGCTCAGACTATGTCTCACCTCTACTCAGGACCCCTCCATGGTTCCCGTCTCGCTCAGAGTGGAAGCCAAAGTCCCTACAGTTCCTCCCAAACCCTACCCTAGGTACCTGCCATACTTACCTGTACCGATCAGCTTTTTTTTTTTTTGCGGTACCAGGGATCAAACTCACGACCTTGAGCTTGCCAGGTAGGTGCTTATGCCACTGAGTTATATCCCCAGCCCACGGTCAGCCTTTTTACACTCATCTAATCTCATTACCCTCCCACACTCAGACATACTGCACTTTCTTACCACAGGGCCTTTGCACAAACTGTTCCTGCTGCTTGGAAGATTCTTTTAAGAATAAGAATGGCTTTCTCCTACACCTTCTTTAAATTTCAGCTCAAATGTCAGCTACTTAATGAGGTTTTGGGGACCACCCTATTTAAAATTGCAGACCACCTCCATTCAGTACAGCCTAAGCCCCCAACCCTGCTCTAATTGTTTCTTTGAGATCTTGGCATGGCAAAGAAGTACTGAAAGTATTATGTACTGCACTTCCTTAGCCTTTATTTTCTTTTATGTTTATAAAGAATGTCAGCTCCACAATGACAGGGATCTCCTCTTTTTTTTTTTTTTTTTCTGGCCATCTCCCAGGGCTGGTACATATTAAATGGATACACTAGGAATCCTGAGCCCATCAGGAGTAGACCTCTTGTCAAACGCTCAGGAGAGTACGGTGGCCGTGGGAGGGCTGGCCGGGGAGTCTGTCGGCCCTGGCGGGTGGACACCCAGCCTTTCTGGGCCTCCTGCCTGTAACAGAGATGCTGCATGCTCAGCGCTCAGTAAATGCTGGTAGCACACCAGTTAGTAAGAAGAGACCCCGGCATTTCTAACGTGTTTTACACCCTTCTACGCAGGATTTCGTGTCCCTCGCACGACAGTCCTAGACGCGCTTAGAATCCCCTTTTGACAGCTGGAGAAACAGGTCCTTCCCAGACACGGGGGCGGGCGGGAGGCTCGGAGGGTCGGGCTGGGCTCAGAAACTACATTTCCCAGGAGCGGCTGTCGGTGGGGCAGGGCTCTCGGGCTTTAAAAGGGCCTCGCGTTACACGGGACGCTGCGGGGTGGCCAGGAGAGCTGCCGGTGGGGGGCCGCGGGAGGGCCTGGCTGGAGCCAGCCCCCTCCCCAGCCTGTGGTATCCAGGAAGCCAGGCAGACTTTGCTCATTTTGCTCCCCCTCGGCCTCGGTCCCCAACTCCCAGGGAGCCCCTCCATTCCCCCCAGGCCCCCAAACAAGCGGAGGAGAGGCGGGAGAATCCTGCTGCCCCTGGTGGGGAAGGGGCGACCCGGCTCTGGAAGCCCCGCTACCCAGGTGCCCCTCCCCTCCCCCAACGGGCTTCAGTTCCCGGAGAGAATTTCAGGTCCCCGAGATGGGCGGGGAGAAGAGATGTGACTGCGACAGCTTGGAATGAAGGCCGGGGTCGCAGGGAGCTGAGGCTTACGCCCCCCATTCTCCCTCTGTGCCCCGCAGCCTCCACGGTAAAATGGGGGTGTGCAGGTAGTGATCCCATTACCTGCCCCCCGGCGGGAAGGAGGCACGGAGGATCTGGAGCCCGCCGACACCAGCTTGCAAACTGTAATGCGTTGGGCGAATTAAAAAAAAAAAGTCAACATTGTGCCACTGGATTCCTACAGTCCTCATTCTCAGCCAGGTGGTGGTGACACGTCCCTGGGGAGCGCAGGGTGGAAACATCTCGGATGTAGGGGTGGCTATGGGGATGGGTGTTTCCCCCACCCAGGTTTTAGCGGGAACGGGGAGAATCGTTTTTGAAAAAGAACCAAAATAAACCTACCACGGTATTGTTTTTTTCAACGGGGGTGGGGTGGGGTGGGTAATTGCATCGTTCTCACATCGAAGTAAGAGCCTTGATCTTTTGAACTAACCTGGCCCTTCACGGCTTCACTCTTCCTCCTGTGTCACGCAGATAAGCCCAGGGACACGCATCTGATAGGGGATCTTGGCCTCTCCCTCCCCTCCCCCAATCATTCGGATTAACTCATTTCTTGACGTCGGGGGGAGGGGGAGGCCCATTAACTTGCCCTGGTCTCAGACTCCTAAGTGCAGTAGTAGCCTTCCCGACACCCCCCAACTACGACCCACCCCCTCATCCAGACCTTCCTCCCCTCCCCCGCCCCCGCAGGACTCAGTGTCTGCAGCCTGCTCCGGGGCCTTACCGGAGACGCTTTCTTCATTTTGAACAGCTACAAACCCTCACTTCCAGGGTATTGTTTAATTAAAGAGCCTTACTGCAAAAGGAGTGAAAGCGGGTTTGTTGAGGGAGGGTGCGAAGGAGCGAGCATCCCCCAGAATCTTAGCCCAGGGCCGCGGCCAAGTAGATCTGGCACGGAGCAGCAGGTCTGCTGCAGACAAGGGCTCCTACAGTGTCTGAGGGTCCGTTCTGCTGTTCTCTTAGCCCCTAAAGTCCCTCCGAGTGCCAGGACACCCTACAGACCCTGGCACCCCTTGTCACCTCCGTCTCTACCTGCCCAGCAGCACCGGGGAAGATGTATATATTTTAACAAAGGCACTGCATCTTCCCAGCAAAATGGCGGTGGTCCCAGCCACGGCTCCCTGCATAAGTGCACCCTTCGCGAGGATTACTCACGACCCAAGGAACGTGACCCCCCGATGTCTACCCTAGCGCCCCGTTTTTCCCAAGTCTCTGAAGCACTCAGGGCCTCTCATCACAGGGGCCCCCAGAAGTGTCTCTGGTTATAGTTAGGGGCAGCTCCTCCATGGTGGCCCGGCCCCCCAACATACAAAGCCTCCAGGGGGCCTTGGGAGGAGGACTGGACCCCCATGCCGGGCACTGGGGTGGGGGGACCGCGAGCTCTTCCTCACACCCCCCAAAACTCCCAGACTGAGCGAGGCAAGTAAATGCACTCCCGGTTAGGATACAGAGGAGATGTGGGGGTCTCTGAGGACAGCAGGACACCGGGAAGACCCCCTCCCTGTCTCTCAGGAGACTCAGGCAGCACTGGGGGGGCTCGGCCTCAGGAGGGAACCTCGAAGCAGAGGTCTGGGGGCGCACTGGGGGCGTAGACGTCCCGGGAGGGGGAAGGGACAAAGTTTGAAAGTACCCTTCCAACTCTTCCTGGGAAAGTTTCCTTGGGGGGCCCCACGGACAGAGAAGGGGTGGGGGTGCTGGGGGGCCAGTGGTGGGGTGACCCCTGAGAGGTGACCGGACCCCGGGGGAGCGACCCCTCCCCCCTGTCCCGGCTCGGCCCGGCTGGGAGTCGCCCAGCTCGGGGCCGCGTGTGTTAGTTGGGGCCGCTTTCCAGCCGCTCCGCCGGGCTAGGGGGCCGCGCAGCGGGCCGGGAGCCGGGCCCCTGATAGCCCCAGGGGAGGGCTTTGCTACGGGTGGTCTCGCGCCGCCGGGGTCCCCAGCCCCGCAGAGCCAGTCCCCCGCAAAGGGGAAATGTGCCGGCGCCCCAGCGGTCCTCGGCGCCGTTTGGGGCGCGTGGCGGGCGGGGGGGGCGGCGGCCGGGGCCGCGGGTTACCCGGCGGTGGAGCCCAGGGAGCCGAGCAGCGGCCCCGGGCGGCTGCTAGGAGCGGGAAGGCCCGGGCCGGGGGGAAAGGTCGGATTTGTTCGGCGGAAGAAACACAGATGGCGGCGGCGCGGCGCCATTCCGGGCCGGGAGCAGGCAGCCAGCAGCCCTGTCCTCACCGCGGTCCGCCCGCCGCCGCTAAATACCCGGATGCGCCGCCCGAGCGCCAGACGCGGAGCTGGGAAAGGGGAGGCGGAGGAGGCGGAGGCAGAGCGCGAGCCAGGCGGGCAGACCGAGCGGCAGACCGGCGGGGCTGGGCCACATAGAGCCGGCCCAGCGAGCCCTCGCGCAGCCCGCGCCGGGGAGGAGAAGAGGCAGCGGCTGCTCGTCCGCATCCCTGACGGCCCAAGTCCGGAAGGGCCTGGTAGCCAGGGGCCCGGGAACAGATCCCTCCGACGAGGGCTGGCCCTTGGGAAGGCGCCTTCAGCAGCGGGACCAGGCAGGCCACCATGACCGAGAACTCCACGTCCGCTCCTGCGGCCAAGCCCAAGCGGGCCAAGGCCTCCAAGAAGTCCACAGACCACCCCAAGTATTCGGACATGATCGTGGCTGCCATCCAGGCCGAGAAGAACCGCGCTGGCTCCTCGCGCCAGTCCATCCAGAAGTACATCAAGAGCCACTACAAGGTGGGCGAGAACGCCGACTCCCAGATCAAGTTGTCCATCAAGCGCCTGGTGACCACCGGTGTTCTCAAGCAAACGAAAGGGGTGGGTGCCTCGGGGTCCTTCCGGCTGGCTAAGAGCGACGAACCCAAGAGGGCAGTGGCCTTCAAGAAGACCAAGAAGGAGGTCAAGAAGGTGGCCACGCCAAAGAAGGCAGCCAAGCCCAAGAAGGCTGCCTCCAAAGCCCCAAGCAAGAAGCCTAAAGCCACGCCGGTCAAGAAGGCCAAGAAGAAGCCGGCTGCCACACCCAAGAAAGCCAAAAAACCCAAGGTTGTCAAGGCCAAGCCAGTCAAGGCGTCCAAGCCCAAGAAGGCCAAACCAGTGAAGCCCAAAGCCAAGTCCAGTGCCAAGAGGGCCGGCAAGAAGAAGTGACAAGGAAGCCTTTTCTTACGGACACTCCTCTCTCACTCTCTGTAAATACTTTTTTCCTTTCTTCTCTCTTGATTCTCTGCAACCTTTTGCCCCATTTGCCCTGACTTTATAAGAGACAGACTTTGGATTCCTCGGAAATGGTGGAATTAGTGCTTTTTCCTTCACCAGTTGTGCAAGGACCGCGACAACAGATCTCATCTCTGTAACGATGAGGATGTACTTATATTTTGTTTTGTTGATTTGCTATTAATCTATGGGGCTCGGGACTTGGGGGGGCTGTGCGTTGTGTTGGGGGGTTGCTTGACGGTAGACGGGGAAGGAGAGAACAGGCGCCGCAGCTTGTTCTCGCTAGAGGAAAGGGAGCCCAGGAATCGTAAAGGTCTGTAGGAGTGTCTTTCAGGTTTTCTTTTAAGTTGGGCACCCTGGTGGGAATTTCCGAAGCTCTGGGGAGAGGCGAGCAGCAGGGGGTCCGAGGCCGGATCCTCCTCTCCTGGGTCGGCGTGCCCTTCTGGCCTCCCTATTGTCTTAGGGAAGAGGAGGGGGACAAGTGACAGCTGGCTGGAGAAACTAGCTTCCCCCAGCCAGCTAGGACCCAGCCGTGGGATGGCGGGGAGACTTCTGTGGCTTCGGCAAAGTCTCTTAACGGGAGCGGAAACTTTGGGGGAAGGATGGGGAGTCGGTCAGCCAAGTGCCTCAGTGTGCCCTGTTGAAACTTGGGTTTTTTCCACACAATTTGATGGATTATTGTGTCTTTGGAGGACTTTTTTTTCCCCTCTGTATTTTGTTCCTTCTCTAAAGACGTGGCTTTGCTTGGTCTGGTAGGGCTCCAGCCCCGCCGCCAGCTGCTTAAAAACCTCCCGACCTCTTTTTACTTCGGAGTCTTTTTTTAAGTAGATGTAGATGGGGAGGGGGAGGGGCAGGGAGTGGACGGTAAGACATACTGCAGTTGATTTGGAATTTGCTACGTAGTTATAGAGCTAGATCTATGTGCATGTGTGTGTATTTGTATATATGCATACCTAGGGCTACTACTTAGGTTTTACATCGGGAGCTGGGAGAAAAAAACCTGTACAGTTGTCTGCCTTTTATTTTTAATATGAAGATCGCGCACTTGCGCCACCCCGCCCCACCCCCGCCTTTTTTAAACAAGTGTTACTTGTGCCGGGAGAAATTTGCTGTCGTTGTAATTTTAAAACTTTAAAATAAAATCTGGAAAAGGAAAAATAGCGGTGTATTTTTTTGACTTAGGGGGGCGAACGCGGAGCAGTTGGGTGAGCAGGGCACATCTGGGACCGAGTTTACCCCGGAGAATGGGGGGTGTCCGAGAACCGGACAGGAACCTTCGGACTGAAAGGCGCCTCCGCTCGCTTTTAGGCTCCTGCCTTTGAGGTCCACAGGGCACCCTCTTTCCTTCTAAGAGGGGTGTGTAGGCAGGAGGATGGGAACGGACTAGGCTAGGACCTGACGTGACTAGTTCCGCCTCCTTAGCTTCCCCTGCCCGGACCTCTCCGTCTTTACTTAACAAATCAATCCTCGATCCTCCTCCACCGGTACCGCCCGGCCCCGCCCCTTTAAGGGCCCCTCGGCTTCCGATTGGCTGCCGGGGCCCGGCCCCCGGCCACGTGACGGGTTGTCCGCGCGCGCAAGGCCCAGCGGGCGGGCGCGCTCGGATGAGGTGCGCGATGTGGGCTGGAGGAATCTGGCGTGCGGCGCTCGCCCGGGCCCCTCACGGCCGCCGCGCGCAGTCGGCGCTGGCCCAGCTGCGCGGCATCCTCGACGGGGAGCTGGAAGGGATCCGCGAGGCTGGCACCTGGAAGAGCGAGCGGGTCATTACGTCCCGTCAGGGGCCGTACATCCACGTGGACGGCGTCTCTGGAGGTAACCGCCCCTCCTGGGAGTGGCAGGAGCTGGCTGGTGATCGAGGGGCCCTCCCGGGCTTTCGCCGGAATAGGGGTCCCGGGGCCGAGGGCTGGGGTCGTACTTCCCGGGTTGACTCAAACCTGGTTAAACCCGTTTCGACCACGGGAAGTGATTTCCCCGTGAGCCCCTTTCGGCCCAGCGGAGAGGGCTCGACCAAAAAGAGACATGCAGCTGCCAGCCCCTTTGCCACTGGGAGGGGATAGGAAGGCAGCAGCAAGAAAACCCGCATTTGTTGTCTTTTCTTTTCTCTTTTTCTTTTTTTTTTGTCTTTTCTTTGTTTGTTTGGTTTGGGTTTTTTGTTTTTTGATAGAGTCTTCCTCTGTGTAGCCCAGGCTGGTCTCGAACTTGGCCTCTCAAGTGCTGCCGGGATACAGAGGTGGGCGCCTGGTAACACCTGCATTTCTTGAGCAGCTGCTTTGTGAAAGTCTACTAACTGCTGCACGTGTACTCCTGCTAACCTCTAAACGCAGGAGTGACTAATCCCATGTACAGTCAAAGAAGCCGAAACCCCAAGATGTGAAGTGTTTTGCTCAGACTCCCCCAGCCAGTGAGCTGTCAAAGAAAGCTGGAGCTGGAAGGTCAGCTAACTGGCCAGAGGCCAACCTGAGGCCAGAGTCTAAGACTTGAGGACTTTTGCCAAAGTGACAGACACACTGATTGGACACGGTAGGTGTCCCTCCTTTCATTCCAGCCAGTGACCCTGCTGTCCTAGTTGCGCTTGGCCTCAGGTGGCTGTTATTATCAACAGGTGTCCCAGTAGGCATGGAGTCTTTAGTGCTGATGTATATTTATTGGTAAAATGGAGATCCCAGGAAATCCCGGCCTTCCCCAGGGGAAGTGTGGAACAGGTCCTGCCCCTAACTACTTGTGATTATCCGCCCCTGCCCTGTCAGAGGCTGAACACCTGTCTCTGCTCCAGTGCTTTTGGGCAAAGCCCTCAGAGAAACCACACAGCTGTCACATCACAGTAGAGGCCCAGAGGGACACAGTGTTGGTTATCGAATGGAAAGATGGGCAGTCAGGAGACCCACGCTCTCACGCTGACTTCGCCTTTCCCAGGCTGTGAACTTTCCACTCCTTGGCCTCAGTTTCCTGCTCAAGTCAGCTGTGTTTGCTGTGGGCTTTCTGACTCTGGACTGAGGTCTCTGAGGCAGCCACTCTGGGCCGTGATTCTGTCCAGGCAGCAAAGTAAACATTGGAGGACTGCAGCGGGCGCCAGACCCAGCCCTCTTTTCTTACCCTCAAGGAAGCCAAGGCTGAGATGGGGGGAGCGGTGGTGGTCTTCAGGGATCGGAGAAGCCTGAGAGGAAGGGATAGGTTCCTTCCTGAATAGAATGTGATTCAAAGCCGGAGTGTGGCGGCACATGCCTGTGATTCCAGTACTTGGGAGGCCGGCGCAGGGGGATCGAGAGTTCGAGGCCAGCCCAGGCTATGTAGTGAGACTGTCTCAAAACACTAAAAATAAATAAATCGTCTCATCCTTCAAGTTGCAGCACTGGAGAGACTCCTTTCCTCACCCTGCCTGTCCTGTGGCTGTTGGATTCAGAGTCTTCTGGTGGCCCTCACCCTGGCCTCAGTCCCAGGCTGCATCATCCGGGGCTGTTGTGGAGCTGTCCAGGTTCAGTTCCTCTCTGGACCACTTCCCCAGGCCTGGCACTGTCCCCTTCCAGGCCCTTCCTTGCCCTGTCTGAGTTACTGTGTCCATCTCCTCTTTCCACCTCAGGAATCCTTAACTTCTGTGCCAACAACTACCTGGGCCTGAGCAGCCACCCTGAGGTGATCCAGGCAGGCCTGCAGGCTCTGCAGGAATTTGGAGCCGGCCTCAGCTCTGTCCGCTTCATCTGTGGGACCCAGGTATACGGCGGGGGTTGGACATGCACTGACCCCATAGGGCTCGGCTAATCCCAGGGCTCAGGCTCAAGGCCCACTGTTAGTGCCAGAGCCACCAGGTAGAGAGTCTGGGTGCCTGTTTTGCTGAGAAGCCTTGGACAAGAAACTATCTTCTTTCCTTTTTTTTTCATTTACGTATGCATGTATTTATTTTGTTCTGTGGTATTAGGGATTGAACCCATGGCCTTTACAGTGAGCGACATCTCCAGCTGTATTTTAATTTTTTGAGACAGGGTCATTTAAGTCACTACATTGCCCACGCTGGGCTCAAACTTGCACTCCTCCTGCCTCAGCCTCAAGAGTGGTGGGATTACAGGTGTATGTCACCATGCCAGGCTAAGAAACTTTATATTTCTGAGCATCCATTGTAAGCATCTGTTTCCCCATCGCAGAAGAGAGTCCTCTCACCTGTCCTGCTGAAAAAAAAGAATAGAAGGCAGGTTTTGATGTTGAGAGTTCTAGAGCTATTCTGCCTGGGCTTTGTTTCCAGTGCTGCTGTTTATCGGCTCTGTCACTCTATAGTGACAAGTAGCAAGTGTCTTATCCTCTCTGTGACTTGAACCTTTTGTTGGTAAAGTGGGGACAACAGTAGATAAAAAGATCATTACAAATGAAAGAGGCAGCAAACTGGACATAGTGGTACAGGCCTGTAATCCCAGCACTGTGGAGGCTGAGGCAGGAGGATCACTGTGAGTTCAGGGCCACCTTGAGTTGCAGAGTGAGATTCTGTCTCAAAAAAAGAGCTGGGGATGTAGCTCAGTGCAAAGGCCCTACGTTCATTCCCAATACCACAAGGAAAAGAAAAGGAGTACACGTAAAAATGCTTAGAACAGTACCTGGCACACAGAAGCACTTAATGATGGTTATTGCAGCCAAGCATAGTGGTATATGTCTGTAATCCCAGCGCCTGGGAGGCTGAGGCAGGAGGGTCACTTCAAGTTAGAGGCCAGCTTAGGCTACAAAGTGAGTTCAATGACAACCTGAACTGCATAGTGAGACCCTGTCTCAAAAAGAAAAAAAGTGGCTATTACTTATTTTGTCAATGCTACAAAGCAAATTAATATCTACGTGAAACTTATATAATATTTATTGTGTGCCAATTACTTTTCAGAAGGTTACAAGTATTAACTCATGAATCCTCCTGCTTTACCAGTGTTATTGACATGAGAGCCCCAAGGCCCAGAGAGGTTAATGATTCGTCCAAAAGCACACAGGTGGGATTTGAACCTGGGTAGCCTGGCTCAAGAGCCCTTTCTCCTAACTGCCTGTAGTAAATTACCTGTCCTGAAAGGTGAGGCTGAAAGGAACGTCAGGTACTCCTGTCTCCCATCCGGGTACATCCCAGAAAACCCTCGGCAAGACTAAGCAGCTTTTGAACCTAAGCAGTAAGGTCCAAATGCTCAGCTGGGTGCAGTAGCACACACCTGTCATCCCAGCACCCAGGAGGCTGAGGAAGCACAACTGCCACAGGCTCAAGGGCAGCCTGGGCTACATAGTGAATTCAAGGCTGACCTGAACGATATAGCGGGACTCTGTCTCAAAAAACAAAGAGAGGCCCAAATGAGTGCAGAGTTTATGTAATCCTCCTCTTTGCCGTAAAACAATCCAAAACACCATCTGGTATTAGGAAGGCACATCTTGCTTGCCATCAGCACCCATAATTCTACCACTGGGAAGAAGTCCATTACAAAACCGGGATCCACCTGGGAAGGGAAACCCAGCAAGTCCCCAAGCCCTCAGTGGAGCCGTGTGCCACCTTCCTGCCGGCTCCGTGGCGACCTATGGATCAAAAGGAAGGGCAAGGCTGAGGCTGCGGCCTTCCAGGCAGGGCCTGTCTGTGGCTCCTCCAGGCCTCTGTCCTCTAGGACTTATTCCACGCAGCCCTCCAGGCGCTCACAGCTCCTGTCATGCCTTTCCGTAGAGCATCCACAAGAGTCTGGAAGCCAAGATCGCCCGCTTCCACCAGCGGGAGGATGCCATCCTCTATCCCAGCTGTTTTGATGCCAATGCCGGCCTCTTTGAGGTGTGTGGAGCTGTGGGTGGGAGTTGGTGGGGTTGCAGATGGCTTGGGGATGGGCAATCAGCAGAGCCCGCCAGGATGCCAGTGCCATGCCAGGTGGCTCTAGTGCCCTTCCTCCTGGAGGCCAGGTGGGCCAGGTTAGTGTTCTAAGAGGAAGACGGGCTTGCAAGGAGCCCCTTCTCCAGAGCATTTGGGGAGTAACCTGTGCTAGCAGGAGGCTGGGGAATGGCTCCTGCCTCCTCAGGTAGGCTCCTCCTCAGGAGGCTCCTGCCTCCTCTCTACCCTCCTCTGGATAGAAAGTCTACCCAGACTTTCTCACCTGCCCTCAGCAGAGCAGGGCCTTGGCAACAGAGATGGAGTGGAGGATGCCTTGCCTCCCTGCCCGTGGAATGCC